GCGTCGTCGAGCCGGCGGACCTCGTGGCCCCCACCTTCCTTGTCGATGGCGCTCTCCTCCACCTCCTCCTCCTCCTCCTCTCCTCCTCTTCCTCCTCCTTCTCCTCCTCCTCTTCCTCGTCCTCATCGTCATCGTCATCCTCCTCCTCCACCTCGTCCTCCTCCTCCTCCTCCTCTTCTTCCTCGTCCTCCCTCTCCCCCCCTCGTCTTTTCATCATGGTCCTCCCATTGTCGTCCTCCCCCTCATCGGCCTCCATCATCGTCCTCCCATTGTCGTCCATCATCATCATCCTCCCCATCCTCCCCCTCCTCGTCCTCCTCCTCCCCCTCCTCCCCCTCCTCCCCCTCGTCCTCCTGCTCCTCCTCCTTTTCTTTCTCCACGTTCTCCTTACATCCTCTCTTCTTCCACGTTCTCCTCGTCCCCTGTTTACTCATCCTGCCTCCCCCTCCTTTCCCAAGATAACTGCAACGCAATTTTTTTTCCACTTTATGCTCCCCGCCTTCTCTGATCAAGGCAACTCGCCAGGGCAAAGTTGCTGGACGGGCTGGCGTGGATGTGCGGGGCGTGAAGAGGTCCTTGCGGGCTCAGGCGGCATGCAAGAATCCGCCGCCGCGCTTGTGCGGCATTGGTTTGTTCAGTGAACGTGGTTTAGGTCGCGGGTGGGTCGCGGGCTCTCCACCTCCACCTGGAAGGAATGCAAAAGCAGCCCGCCGCAAGCGCAAAACAAATTGTTCGTACACGGAACGAGGTTTGGGTCGCGGGTGGGCCGCGGGTTCTCCACAGGGAACGAATGCAAAGGATGCCCGCCGCAGGCGCCGAAAATGTGGTTTGTACCCTGAACGTGGTCGCGGGTGGGCCGCGGGCTCTCCACCTGAAACGAATGCAAAATATGCCCGCCGCAGGCGCCGAAAAATGTGGTTTGTACCCTGAACGTGGTTTGGGTCGCGGGTTGGTCGCGAGTTGGTCACGGGATGTGTCGCGGGCTCTCCACTTGGAAGGAATGCAAAAAAGCCCGCCGCAGGCGCCGAAAATTGTGGTTTGTACCTTGAACGTGGTTTGGGTCGAAGGTGGGTCGCGGGTGGGTCGCGGGGTAGGTCGCGGGTGGGTCGCGGGTGGGTCGCGGGTGGGTCGCGGGTGGGTCGCGGGGTGGGCCGCGGGGGGGTCGCGGGGTGGGTCGCGGGTTGGGTCGCGGGGTGGGTCGCGGGGTGGGTCGCGGGGTGGGTCGCGGGGTGGGTCGGGGGTGGGTCGCGGGGTGGTCGCGGGTGGGTCGCGGGGTGGGTCGCGGGGTGGGTCGCGGGTGGGTCGCGGGGCGGGTTGCGGGTGGGACGACGACAACAAACAACAACAACAAACAACAACAACAACAAGAATCCGCACCGCGGAATTCCACATCAGCCACGCACCCAGGGACAGTGAATGACCGTTCGGCCCCCTCACTCTGATATATATATATATATATGTATATATATATATATAGATGTATCGGCATTATATATAAATGTGTGTATATATATATACACACGTGCATATATCCTAAAACACACATGTAAATATCCGTGAGGGTTTCGCCCCCTGCCGCCGGCCCCCTCTCGGAGAATGGGCCATGGAAGAGCGAAGTCATAAGGCTTCGGCTTCGCTGTAAAGCAGTGTCGGATCCTCTGTGTTTTTGGACTCTGACCCTACAGATCTGCGTGAGGGGTGCCGCCGAATTTCAGAAATGTAACAAATCCAGTGTGTTTTTGGACCCTGACCCTGCCGATTTGCGTGAGGGGTGCCGCCCGGAATTTCAGAAATGTTGCAAATCCTTTGTGTCTTTGGACCCTGACCCTGCCGATTTGCTTGACGGGTGCCATCGGGTTTCAAAAGTGGCAAATCCAATATGTTTTGCGCCCTGACCGCGCCGATTTGCGTGAGGGGTGCCACCGAATTTAAAACATGTGGCAAATCCTTTGTGTTTTTGCGCCCTGACCCCGCCGATCTGCGTGAGGGGTGCCACCGAATTTGAGAGACATGTCGCAAAACCCATATGTTTTTGAACCATGACCCCGCCGATCTGCGTGAGGGGTGCCACCGGATTTCAGAAATGCGGCAAATCCCGTTAGTTGTTGGACCCTGACCCTACGGATCTGCGTGAGGGGTGCCGCCGAATTTCAGAAATGTAACAAAGCCCATTTGTTTTTGGACCCTGGCCCCGCCGATTTGCGTGAGGGGTGCCACTGAATTTCAGAAAAGTGGCAAACAGTAAGCAGCAAGAAGTCAACAAGGAACAGTAAGCAGCAAGAAGCAGAACTGTAACAGTGGAAACTAGAAGCTGCAACTGGTACAGGAAACTTCGAACCTCCGGCCTACAGCCTGGTGGCCCCACAAGGGGGCTGGCGGATATGTATTCACATGTATAGACGTGCGGTCTCGAGAAGCAAGTTTATAACAAAATTGCCATAGACATTGAAACGGGAACGCTGTTGAAACAATGCGGGCGGGGCCCGGCGTGTTAAGTGGCATGCGCCTGTCAATGTTGAGGAGCACTATCGCGCATTCGTAGCGAGGTGTATGGCAAGCTTCTCAATGGGGGAACGAAGCCGTAAGGCGTAAGTTGAGACCACCCATGCGTGCGACCCAAGGATGGATCAAGTTGGAAACACACCCGGGCATTAACTTACATTCGCCTCTCAATGTTGCCACCGGGCGCGCAACCCTATGGACCTATGGACGATGTACCGACAGCCTGGCCGTGGTGCAAATTTGCGCACGCTGCCAACATTGAAATGCGGATAGGTATCACTCAATGATCCTCTTGTGGGCGCCGTCCTTCGCTCATCCATCAAAATCATCGTCCTGCACAAGGTGTTATAGAGTTTCTCCTGGTGGTGCATGTCTATATATATATATATGTTTTGTATATATATATATATATGTATATGTATATATACATATCGTCCGTGCGTCGCCTCAACCCGAATTATAACTTTTACCCAGTACATTGCCTTCGAACCTGGTAGCACAGAGTATATCATACCCTAGCAGTCGAATGTTTAGTAGTAAAAGAATGAGTGGGCGTTAAGTTGCCCAGGTCGAGCGAGTCAGAGATAGCCAGAGGGCCCTGCCTATGCCCATGGCCCCTCCCGCAACATTAGAAAACATGTCGGCGCAGCTTGATGTTTGGATTCGAACGCGTTCCCACCTCGCAAACGGAAGGCGCTCGCGCGCGGCCCCACTTCCGGTGACGTGGCGAAGGGAAAGCTACGCGCGCCGCGCAGGGGCGGGGCTGGCAGAACTCCCGATGGGCGCGGCGAAAGCGAAAATGCGCCGCGCTGACACAGCCGTGCCACTTTCGCTAAGAAGCTGTGCGGCGCTTGTGCGAGCACGGTATTTCGCCCGCTCTCGCGCGGCTCCGCTGCAGCCGTCGTTTGCGCGCGATTCGGCGAACGAGCCATGCGCCGCGCCCGTGCGGGACACACGGAGATTTTGGAACGCCCGCCTTCAGGCGAAATCTACACGGCGCCGAGGCGTGAGCTGCATTTTCGCCCACTCGCGCGTCGACGCAGAGGCGCGAACAAAAAAATGTGCGCTGCGCCCCAGCGGGAACCCAATTCTCTCAACCATTGAGCGCGGCGCCAGGGCGAGAGCGACATTTCGGACTTCTTGCGATATGCGTACACTGTCCCGCTCCTGCCACGGATTTCGCAACATGGGCGACAGAATGTCAATGTTGACGAAACTGGTCGTTTGTTCAATGTATGTAAAAAGACGTCAGGCTAGATGGAAGGGCCTGGATCTGAGGGCCATCGGCCATTTCGGTGGCAGAGTGGGAGTACGGTAGGTTCGCGTCGTGTCGACCGTCGGCGACCCCGCCCGCGGGCGTTCAAGGTTGAACGTCGCCAGTGGCCCAGAATCGGCCTATACGGAACGATCGGGCGATCGAAAAGCCGCCGATCGTTCAAGGTTGAACGATCCACGTGGTGTCAGAAACCAGCGCCGGGGTCGTCACGACACGAACCTGCCGTATATACCAACAAGGACTATAACTGGGAATCGGAATGGGAAGAGGAGGCGGAAGAGGAGGAGGAGGAGGCGGAGGAGGAGGAGGAGGAGCAGGAGCAGGAGGAGGAGGAGGAGGAGGAGGAGGAGGAGGAGAAGAAGGATTAGAAGGAGGAGGAGGAGGAGGAGGAGGAGAAGAAGGGGAGGAGGAGGAGGAGGAGAGGAGGAGGAGGAGGAGGAGGAGGAGGGAGGAGGAGGAGGAGGAGGAGGCGGCGGAGGAGGAGGAGGAGAAGGAAGAGGAGGAACGGGCGGGGCAAGGTGAGGCTGAAAAATCACCACCCGGGTGGGATTTCCAGATAGATCCACGCGGGTCCCGTCCCGTCCCGTCCGCCAGCCTCGCGTGCCCCAGCGGCCAGGCCCCCCCCCTAACGTTCCGTGGGCTCCGTGCCCAGCATGACAGAAAGATAGAAGAACAGATGATGGGCCTGTTTTCCATCACCACCATAAGTTGGAGGGGGGAAGGAGGAGGACGAGGAGGAGGAGGACGAAGAGGAGGAGGAGGAGGAGGACCCCCTCCCCTCCAACTTATGGTGGTAGTGGTGGTGGAAAACAGGCCCATCAACAGAGCGCAGGAGTGGTCGTGCGTTTTCCTTTTTGGCTCAGAGTTGGTTCGAGTCTCCCTTCCACATTACTTTATCGATCGCGCATGGTCCGCCGCACTCGTGAAATGTTCGCATCCGTACTCGCATGCGTCGGCGTCGCCATCTCGGCGGCGGACACCGTCCTGGCCCCTGTGGTCGCCCAGCAATTGGCAATGCTTGGGCGCGACGCTGGGTCTGGAGACGAAGTCGAGGACTCCCTCGGGGACGGCTTCGGAGACGAGATCCTCACGGATGCCGAAAAAGAATTTGTTAACGAGGGCCTGGACAACCTCGAGTTCGAGGGCCTTTCTGATGACAAGAAGCCCAAAAAGAGACTCGCTAGACTGAAGAGGAACTTCACTCTGGCGACGGGAAAGTTGGATGAGATCATCCCAGAATTGCAAACCGATTTCAAGTATCCAGGTGCCTGCGGCAAGTCCTGCCACGGTGCCAGCGCAGCTTTTCGTGTGGCGACGTTTCGAGGACCGCCCCAAAAGGCTGCAATCTGTGACACCTCTGGTGTTTTTCCGTTGAGGGGTTCTCGTGGGTATTACCTGGGCTGTCTCGGGGCTGTCTTGGGCTCCCTTGTGGCTGTGTTGGTGCCGTCTTGGGCCGTCTTGGGCCTATCCCGGTCGTCTGGGGAGTCTATTGCGGCTGTTTGGGGGGCCTCTCCGGGTTTTCTTGGGTTTCTTGGGGCCCGTTGCGGTTGTCTTGGGACCCTGTTGGGCCGTCTCGGGCAGTCCTGGGACCAGTTTCGGCCGTGCGATGGGGCTTTGGGGGGCCCTCATTGGGATAATTTGGCTTCTCTTTGGCTCCTCCAATGTCTTTTTGGAATAATCGTGCGGCGGGAGTCGCAGGAAATGCTCCTGGGGGATGGTGGGTGACTCTTGAGGCAGTCTTGGGCTATTTGGGGGGCCTTCGTGGGCAGTCGGGGAAGCGGTGGAGCAGGAGGGAACGGGCGTCCTCGGTGGGTGCTTGCAGGGGCGGGGGAGGGTCCGACGCACACGACGACGACGCTGACGGCGATGACGACGAGCCTTGCCCCATCAGCCAGCGAGATGTACATTGAATGTCCCGCCCGCCCGCCCGCTTTCATGACACACGCGTTGTGATCGTTGTCGTTTCCCTTCCTGGTCGTGGTTGAAGCCCCCCCAGCCTTGCTGAATCAACAGGCGAGGCTTCCACTTGATGTCCCAGCCGTCGTCGTCGTAATCGTCGTTCGTCGGTTTTCTTGAACCCTCTTGAACGTCGTCTCCACCAACCTTGTCCCGTCAATAGGCAAAGCTTGCATTCAATGCCCTTTCCGCCCGCCCGCCTCAGCGCCAGTGACCTGCCCGCCTCGAACTGCCGCCCGCCCGCCCGCTTCCGTGCCCCCCGCCCGCCCGACAGTCCCGCCTGTTTTGCGCCCCATCTGTCCGACCCGCTCGACGCTTTTCATGTCTCACCCTCGTCGTCGTCGTCGTCGGCGCTGTCGTCGTCGCCATCGTCGTCGTGGTCGTCGTCGACCTGCTCGACGCTTTTCATTTCTCACCCTCGTTGTCGTCGTCGTCGGCGCTGTCGTCGTCGTCGCCATCGTCGTCGTGGTCGTCGTCGTCGTCGTTTTTCCCAACCATCCTGTGGTGTTGGGTCCTCGTTTTGAAGAGACAGCGCCCCGCGTCCCACCTTCTCCTCCTCCTCTCCTCCGTGCTGCCGTCCGCATGCGTCCCGCACACCCGTTTCGGCACACCCCTCACACGTTTCGTGGCCCCATAGGGAGCTCCACCGAAGGCCCCATGGCTGCCGTCCGCATGCGTCCCGCACACCCATTTCGGCACACCCCTCACACGTTTCGTGGCCCCACAGGGAGCTCCACCGAAGGCCCCAGTGCTGCCGTCCGCATGCGTCCCGCACACCCATTTCGGCACACCCCTCACACGTTTCGTGGCCCCATAGGGAGCTCCACCGAAGGCCCCATGGCTGCCGTCCGCATGCGTCCCGCACACCCATTTCGGCACACCCCTCACACGTTTCGTGGCCCCACAGGGAGCTCCACCGAAGGCCCCAGTGCTGCCGTCCGCATGCGTCCCGCACACCCATTTCGGCACACCCCTCACACGTTTCGTGGCCCCATAGGGAGCTCCACCGAAGGCTCCACCGATGGCCGTCCGCATGCGTCCCGCACACCCATTTCGGCACACCCCTCACACGTTTCGTGGCCACCCATTTCGGCACACCCCTCACACGTTTCGTGGCCCCAGCTCCACCGAAGGCCCCAGTGCTGCCGTCCGCATGCGTCCCGCACACCCATTTCGGCACACCCCTCACACGTTTCGTGGCCCCATAGGGAGCTCCACCGAAGGCCCCATGGCTGCCGTCCGCATGCGTCCCGCACACCCATTTCGGCACACCCCTCACACGTTTCGTGGCCCCACAGGGAGCTCCACCGAAGGCCCCAGTGCTGCCGTCCGCATGCGTCCCGCACACCCATTTCGGCACACCCCTCACACGTTTCGTGGCCCCATAGGGAGCTCCACCGAAGGCCCCATGGCTGCCGTCCGCATGCGTCCCGCACACCCATTTCGGCACACCCCTCACACGTTTCGTGGCCCCACAGGGAGCTCCACCGAAGGCCCCAGTGCTGCCGTCCGCATGCGTCCCGCACACCAGGTGTGTGGCGTGCCGACATGGGCGTCGCGGCGCGCGGGCGCTGCCGTCGGGGTTCCCAGGGAAGCCCCCTGCAGAGGCGACGCTCAGAGTCACGAGTACCGAGAGTCACGCAGACCCAAACTGTTCACAGTCGTATACATACATTTACACTGGGCGTATCCATGCACGCATTCATGCGAATAGAATCAATCGCGCGCAGATTCATTCATAATCAGACTCGCTCGCGATCCGACTCGCACGCGCTCAAGCTTTCATATTCGGACCTATCGTCTTCGTTCGTGTTGTGTACACTGCCACGCATTTCGGCACACCCCTCATACGGCTCGTGGCCCCATAGGGAGCGCCACCGAAGAAGATATTCACAATTGCGGTACTCTCAACTGCACATGGCTGGGTCCTTCGCCAGGCTAATTTGGGCTCGGGCAAGTTTGGTTTTGAGCCGACAGGCGAGCCTAGCAGTTCCATACCGTGACTCAGGTCGTGCGTGTCCTGCGATGTCGCTTGGAGGCGGCGCTCGTTGAGCTATTTTTCTTCAACGGGAAGAACTGCTTGCAAAGACGAGTCGTTCCGACTCCGACAGCAGTTGAAGGTTTCTCTGGATGAACCGCGCGTGCACTTGAATTTGCTCCTGCGCTTTGCGGGCGAGAGTAGCCCTGTGAAACCTGGTGCTGCTGAGTTCGTTCCTATGCCTGCTGGCAGTGGCATGCCTTTTTTCACTTGGGACTGGCTCTGCGGATTGGATTCGCGAGGCCTTTGTGGAGATGAACGAGAGACTGAACCGGGTGAAGCAACTGGGACATATTTCTTCTCTAGAGCGGGAGGTCTCGATCACACGGAGC